TATCCGAGGTCATTGTCACCTTAGTTGCCGAAGTCCTTTGTTAGCTGATGTCACCCCTTGCCGGAGTGTCATTCTGTGTAGCTTGTTAGATACGCCTTGTTGTTAGCCGATGTCCTTGCCCTGGCAGAGAGCCCATACCGCCTTGCTTGTTGAGCACCATTCCACCATGCTTTTCATATAATTTGATGTACAATAATTTTAAATGATAAATGTTAATTTTTGATTTGTCAATCATAAAATTTTAACTCTTTCTTAAATCATTGTGGATGGATTTAAAATTATTAATTATAAATTTTTAACATTTGTCAACAAGTATGTGTATGATAGTGCAACATTAGAGTATGGTATTGTTTGGTGCAATTTATCTGAGCGGCTTATAATTTTTTTTTATTTATTCTGAGAGTCTATGCTAGATTGTTTAGTATAGTTTTTGCTTATAATTTATTAATAAGAAATAACTTAAATAAGTTTAAGTAACTTAAATAACTTAAATAATTTTTTTTATTTATGCTAGATTGTTTAGTATAGTTTTTGCTTATAATTTATTAATAAAAAATAATAATCCTAATGTAGCATTTTTACATAATTTTACGTGATAAATTTTTCTTGGGTATCCCATAAATGCTTATTTTTGCCTGATAGTTTTCTCTAATTTTTTCTCGGGAACCAAACAAATCTAACCAAAAAGTTAAAATTTTCTGAGCATTAATTATTTAATATTATGGACTGTCGTTTTGCGCTGACTAGTAGATGTGGTGTGACAACTGGGTGTGGTGTGAATAGGGTTTTTTGGAGTATTCAGCGTACCAAAGATATGCTCATCGTATTCCACGCTCATCACTGCCTACGGTAATAACACTCTCCACTATGCTTACTTTTTGTAATTCTCAAGCATTGTTTAGGAAGGGTTGATTTTGAGTAATGACAGGGATAATGAAGAAAATATTATAAGGATGGTTATGGAAGATTTTTCATTGTGAGATTATATATGTAATAAAATATTATATATTAATTAAAAAATGAAAAAAAATTATGAAATATTTTATGATTTTTTTTTTTATGAACTCTAATATTATTCGTTGATTTTAACCTAAATTTTTTTAAAAAAATCATTAAATAAGTAAAAAAAAAATTAGTAAATTATATAAAAATGTCAAAGATTTCTCCTTTTTTTTTCTCTATTTTTTTTTTTAATTTTTTCGTAAAAAGTCAAAAAATCATTTCAAATATACTATTTTTTTTTCCTAGTAATTCTAGAGACTTAAAAGATTTATTAAATGTCTCACGTGGGTGTAACACACATAAGACCCACATGGTATGAATCTTACAGCCATGTGAGACATTTGGTAGAATTTTTTTGATAAATCTTTTGGGAGTCTCTAGCATTTTTCTTTTTTATCTCATATTTTAGTAAAAAATTCAAAAAAAAAAATTAAAATAACATGTTTCCAAACGAGATTTTAGAGCTCGTTTGGAAATTGACTATTTAAATTAATTTTTTACTAATATTTTATTAAATACGTATAAAAAAGTAAAAAGAATGATGTGATTGAAAGTTTTGGTTATTTTTGTGCAAAACTTGCTTTCCAAACGGAGGAAGCGAAGCGGTTAGGAAAGAATATTAGATCCCATAATTTTAATCAATTAATAACAAATTATGACACTATTTGAATTTGTCCCATGACTAGTGCATAATTTTTTTTTTTATTATTATTGGTAAATTACCATAAACCTTCTTAAACTATATAATTAATTTGTCATTTGTCCCTTTGAACTTCAAAATGTAACAGTTAACTACTTTGAATTTTCATCATTTTACACTCAATACATTTTGTTAGGATTTTGTCTTGGAATTTTAACGAAATCAATTCATGTGTGAAATACATGATACACTTATTATTTTTTAGAATAATAATATCCGTTATTGATTTTTTAAAAGCAATGATACTCTTATCTAATAATTTCATTTGTATTTTGTCTTTTTTATCTTAGTGGTAAAGTGCAAACAGAATCACTAGATAAATACATTATTGCCCTAAAAATTAAATAAATGTGTGATGTGCTTTATATATGATTTGACTTTGTGTAAATCCCTAACAAAATTCTAATAAAAATGATTAATTGTAACAAGATAATATTTTAAGGTGGTTTAACTGTTGAGTTTTGAAGTTTAGAGGAACAAAAAGCAAATTGGTCATAGTTTAAGTTTATTATAATTTGCTCTTTATTTATTTATTACCTTCTTTTTTAGTATTTTTTAAGTGAAGAATGTATAAAATCTCTAAATAAAAATTCATATAATTTGATGTACAATAATTTTAAATGATAAATGTTAATTTTTGATTTGTCAATCATAAAATTTTAACTCTTTCTTAAATCATTGTGGATGGATTTAAAATTATTAATTATAAATTTTTAACATTTGTCAACAAGTATGTGTATGATAGTGCAACATTAGAGTATGGTATTGTTTGGTGCAATTTATCTGAGCGGCTTATAATTTTTTTTTATTTATTCTGAGAGTCTATTTTTTTTTTAACTTCTACGTTTTTGCTTATAATTTATTAATAAAAAATAACTTAAATAAATTTTAAAAATTAATTTTTAATTTTTTTTTAATTTCGACTTTTAAATTATCAAGTTTTAATTTATAAGTAAACATTCGTATAAACCACACCATTGAATTTATCACAAAGCATTCTATGCTCTACCCCGGCCAGTGTGAGTCAGTGTGATATCTACTGGTTGTTTTGAGAAGTTGGTTAAAAGTTAATTTTTTTAATTTTTTTTTAAAAATGTGTAAAAAATAAAAAAGGTGATATGATCCAAAATAAATTAAAAATTGACTTTTGGCTTTTGTGAGACTTACATTATATTGTTTGGTTGTAATTTTTATTATTTAGATTATATTCTAATAGTCATTCTATCAAAAAAATTTGACGTATTTTTTAATTCCCAACTAATTACGCAATACATATATATAATTGAGATTATATATTTCCATATTTATCGTAAAATAAATGTGAACAAGAGGTAATTATATATCTCACTAATTTAGATGGATAATTAATCTTACACTAATATCATGGGTTGTTAATCTTTTCATTATTAATTGTGCTAATCAAACATACCCTAAGAATATAGATTTAATAATGGGCCTCTAAGCAAATACATATGGATGAGTTTTTTTTTTATATATATATTAAAAAAAAAAAAATCTTATTCACTAAAATCAATCTTTTGAACTCGGTTCAAGTGTGATGAATTTTATATATAAAGGAAAAAGAAATTTATTTTCTTGTATGTGTTATGTTCATTTGACATTAGAATTTTACAAGAAAAATTTAAATTTAACAATTCATTTACCAAGAAAACAAAAGTTACAGGAAGGTTTAATTTTTTTTGGTTAAGATTTTCACAATGCAAAATCTACACATATGGATCTCATAAGTTTCTTACTGACCTGAACAACAAAATTTATGTGGAAAATTTGATTTCTTTGTAATTTACATGAAAGCATATTTTATATGAGAGCGGTCTTCTTTATTCATTTATTTATTTGTTGTTATAGGTAAATTTTGGATTGGACAATTGAGAGACGCTTGGGAATCATGCTCACACAAGAAGGCTGTGGCTTTTGGCATCTTTGCCCTTGTATGGAACCTGTCATCGGTCGTAGCTCGCATATGGGCAAGTAAGGACACTTTTGTCATTTCATTCGTACCTATATATACGCATGAATAATAGTAAGTACATATAATAATGCATACTCTTAGGTTTTCTTTAAAAAATAATGTATAGTATATATATTTTTCATCCCAAGTTCTCTCAACATAAGTAGTTTCGTGAAGTCGACAAATCTTAAAAACACATAAACATAATAGTAGATTTAGTTAAATTTTGATAATCGTATGGTTATTATACAGTGTTTAACTCAATGCATTGATTCGTGCAAAGATTAAACATATCAAACTTTTTTTTGTTACGTATTGTTTATCCATTTGAGTCATATAATTGCATTTATAAATTTACTATTTTAGTTGATTTTTTGACTTCTTAAGAAAAGATATACAGAAAAATAGAGAGAGTGATGTAAAATATAGCTTTTTGAAACATTTCAAAAATATCACAAAATAAAAAAACATTTCAAACTTAATTTAGAAAATATAGCTTTTTGAGCATATTTTTTAAGTTGAAAAAATAAATAAACTAAAATTAAAATATATATATATATATATATATATATCTTAACTTTTTAAATTACAAGTACTTAAACATGAAATTTCAAAATTTAAACTAAAAAAGTGCAAATAAATTTTGTAAAATAAATAACACATACATAAATTGTTGATAATATTTTTGGGTTTTTCTAACATGCATTATTGATTTACATCCCATGCAGTGTTCATGTTATTTGTGGCGTTCAGATGTTATCAACAATCACTTGTGAGAGATGATTGGGTAGAGGATGAAGCGAAATGTGAGACCACGTGTCAAGTGCAGATTGGAGGACAAAGACAAAGGCGTAGGCCTACCTTAGTGGAATTAAAAGAAAGAAAATAAATAAATAAAAAAAGGTTAAAGAATGCACACACACTAGAGTTATTATAACTAAAGTAGTTGTGCCACTGATTTGATCTAATTATCTGATATAAGAGAATAATATTTAGCCTTTTTTTTGCATTTTTAATTCTTTTTATTTCTTATTATTACTGTTTTTGGTGTACATATTTTGTATGGTGACACTTAATTCTCAATTAATATGGTGATATTACATGCACCAATTAATATACACACTAGTATACCAACTAGTGTTATGTCATTATTACTGACCTCACCTATTATACAAATTACAAATATTCAAAATTTATAAAATTATGACATATCATTTGTTAGTATACTAGTTAATATATTAATTGATACATATATCATTATTCCAATTAATATAAGTGTTGTAGTGTGTAGACCTCAATAATGGCTTTTGTACATTAGTGTGTACAAATAGATTTGATGATGTAAATTCAAAATTAGTGTGTCTTAAGATACAATTAGAAGAATGAATTTGATTCACATTTTTAAATTTTACATAAATTTCTATTTTTTTAATTTAAAATTATTTTTTAATATTTATTTTTGTCAAACTAATTTATATTTTAAAAACTAAACCAAACAAAGTGAAATAATACATCTTTTCAAAATTGTCAAGTAAATTTTTTTTTTGCTAAACTAACTTTAAGTTTTGTTTAAAAAACACAAAAGTTATAAAGTTAACCAGATAAGCGGATTATTACTTTAAAAAATTTGAGACAAACATTGGACCAATTTAAAAACAAAATAGGTTCATTCTAAATAATAAGAGTAATGCTATATATGATATAATTTTATATTTTATTCTATTTTTCTCATACTAAACAAAAAAGATAATATTTTTCAATTTAAACATGACATAATGAGGTTCACATTAAATGTGTAGGTGATTCTATCCTTGTGTTTAGAAGGGAAGAAAAAAAAAATAATAATCGTAAATTACACTGACCTTTCATAAGGTTGGGTGAAAATATAACAATTTTTTATAATTTTGACATAAGTATACTAATTTTTATTTTAGTAAGGTTAATGGATCAAAATTAGGATAGATGGTGTCAAAATGTAAAAAATAAATAAATTGAAATATAAAAGTAGATGACAATAGCAAATATTTCATTATATAACTAGCAAGCAATTAAAGCTTCGTTTGAGATATGGGTTGATTTTTTAATTTTTTAACTTTTTGACTATTAACCTGATGTTAAAAAATCTCGTTTGGAAAGTGTTTTTTTTGGCTTTTTTACTTTTGTAAGAGAAAAAAAAAATCATTATATAACTAGCAAGTAATTAAAGCTTCGTTTGAGATATGGGTTGATTTTTTAGTTTTTTAACTTTTTGACTATTAACCTGATGTTAAAAAATCTAATTTGGAAAGTGTTTTTTTGGCTTTTTTTACTTTTGTAGGAGAGAAAAAAAAAACATGATTATGGTTTGAATGTAACAATTTTTAGCTTGGGGCTAAAAGGCCTATTTTGACTTTTGAATAATACTATATGCACAAATTAGTGTACTAACTAGTGTACAAATTAAAAATACCAAAAACCTATTAAATTATGTCACATCATCAATTGATACACTAATTAGTATATTAATTGGTGCATATAGCACCATCGTTGTCTTTTTGTAACTATTTTATCCCTAACCAACCCCAACCCAACTTCCCAAACGATTATTAATAAAAATAAAACTAATTAATTATTGAACTTAAAAAATTATGAAGCTATATTTTTATGTCAGAATTATAAAATATAGGGATATTTACACATAAGTTCTAATTTATGAACTTATACTTTATTAAGTTCTAACTAAGATTTTTTTGGACCTTCAAATTCCATTAATTTCTTAATAGTCGAAGTTGTCTTGTTTGGAAAGAAAAAGCTCTAGGCTTTTTAGCTAAAATAGCCACACAAAACGTTATGCGATAAAAAATCGAAATATTACAACATTCAATAGCTGTTATAAGATATAAAAAGAATAATTCTTAACTCAAGGATGGTTGATTGGTGTGATGGAAGGAAATATTACAGTTATAAGATATAAAAACGTTAATTAACTCATGGGGAGTCTACTGGGGAAGTGGAGGACTCATGAGGGTAGGCTAAACTACAAGATACAAGGCTATTGGCTGTGCTTTTCTAAATGTCTTGTAATAAAAAATAAATATTATAAAAAGTTATAAGAAATCTTAATAGCGTGTATCAAATATAAAAAAAAAAAAATGTTATGGACCTAAATGAATTACTAAATATTTTATTAAATCTCTTATATGAGTGTGGAATCTACACAAATTACATGTGGGTGGATCTCACATACATGTAAGAAATTTGATAAGATATTTGATAATTCATTTAGATTACCAAGCGTAACTCCAAATAAAATCTATAAAAAAAAAAATGGTGCATTAAATGCATAGTAATTGTGGTAGGGGAGTAGCTATGTTCATCACAGTGGTGTTAGTTGACACCACTAAATTTCAAAAAATAAAATAAAACAAAATTAGTTTTGAAATTTTTTTTTAAGAGGCTCAAAATCTAAAATTTATTTGGTTCATAATTTTCTCAAAACTATTTTCAATCATTTTTACTATCTCATCTCTCCTTCTCTTATATCATATATATATATATATATATATATATATATATCAATCAATCACTTTTTCTCTCTTATCTCTCTTCTCTCCTTCTTTCACATTCTACACATAAATTAACCATTCTGAAAACTTTACATATTGACCCCGACCCTCCCAAAAAAAAACTCGCTCTAACGATTTTGATATCCCAATATTTTGTTTTATTTGTAATTTGACTAGTTTGGATTGGTTTTGTCAATATAATTGAGAATGTATGAAATTTATAAAGTATCATATAAATGTTAATATTGTTTAGTTGTGTAAAATTAAAAATATGATATAATGACATTGATGATGATGTTTTGCTAAATAAACCCGAAATTCCTAACTATGCCATTGAGTTGTGGTACTATTTTTCTGTAGGGATCAATGTTGACTATTTTTTGCAAAAAACTTTGACTATCAATCCATACATACTCCATAATAGTAGTTGTTTTCAGCTTGCTCCCTCTTAAATGAGTTTCCACCCACCAACCACGATCACCCTACCGGACTTTGTTTACCATATCCTTTGTTTCCATGTGCTTCACTTTGAATCCAGGTGAATGCTTTAAATAATTTATTTATTATGTTTATTAAAAAATAATTTATATAATTGTTAAGGCCTAAAATATTTATATTTATTTTTATTATTTATGACAATGAGATCACACACATTATAATTGAAAAAAAATAATTGAAAATAAATATAATTGAAAAAAAAATTATTTGGAAAAAAATTAATTAAAAAAATAATTGAAAAAAAAATTAATTGGGAAAAAAATTAATTGAAAAAAAATTTGAAAAAAAAATTAATTGAAAAAAATATTTAAAAAAAATATTGGAAAAAAAAATTATTTGAAAAAAAAAATATTTGAAAAAAAGTTATTTGAAAAAAAAAATTGTTAGTAAAATTTTTAAATTTTTGTTTAAAAACCAAGGTAAACTCATTTTTTGAATTTACGTTTTTTTCTCAAATTTACAAACTGAGATAACCATTTTTAAACCAAAAAAATTATCAAATAAGTTTTTATGATAGTTTTTTAAAATTTTGTAAATATAAATTGTAAACTGAAAACGAAATGGTTACCAAATAGGTCTCAGATGGTAAAAATATCGTAAAATCAATAAATAATTAAATAAATTACTACTATAAGAAATGACTTATTAAAAGATTCTTAGGCTATATATGGTTTGGTTTTTAGAAAAAAAAAATTGAAAATTAAAAATTAATTTGGTTAAGAAATAAAAAATAAAAAATAATTATTATTTAAGGGTAAAAAATAATTATCATTTTAATTTTTGGGCAGGTTATATATATACGTACGGCTGTTTCAATTTAATTTGTAAAAAATTATTTCTAACCACTCAAAAGATAAAAATTATATAAAAATGATAATTATTTTTTATTTTTTATTTCTTAACCAGATTAATTTTTAATTTTTAAATTTTTTTTTCTAAAAATCAAACCATATATAGCCTAAGAATCTTTTGATAAGTTATTTCTTACGTTAGTAACTTATTTAATTATTTGTTAATTTTACGACATTTTTACCATCTGAAACTTATTTGGTAATCATTTCGTTTTTAGTTTTCAATTTATATTTACAAAAATTTTAAAAACTATCATCAAAACTTGTTTAATAATTTTTTTGGTTTACAAATGGTTGTCTCAGTTTGTAAATTTGAGGAAAAAACGTAAATTCAAAAAATGAGTTTATGTTAATTTTTAAACAGAAATTTAAAAATTTTACCAACAAAATTTTTTTAAATTTATTTTTTTTCAATTTATTTTTTTCCAATTAATTTTTTTTAATGAATTTTTTTTTCAACTAATACTAACTGAGAGGGCAATTAGTAATGCTACTTTAAACATTTTACCTAGTGAGGGCAAAAATAATATTTAAAAAAATTAAATTGCTGAGGGGAGAATCTGTAATGAAACTTTAAACCTCAAGGAAGACATGTAATTTTTAAAATGTGAAAAAAAAACTGTAATAAATATAAATTTCAGGAAATGTTAGCGTAATTTACCCAAAATATATTTATAATTTTTTTAACACGTGCAAAGATTGTTTAGGTGATACATCTTTGTGCGTTCTCTGGGATAAGAGAATTTATTTGGCGGCTTGTAACAATATTCACACTATTTATGGGAAAAATCAAGAAAAAAAAGAAAAAAGAAAAGTACTTGGTATGTTGGCATTAACTTACTTCCATACCAGCATATAATTTGCCATTGGATAAATATTGACTTTAAGTCTACGTGACAATTATGTAGAGATTTTATTATTGGACTTGTTGGGTAATATTCATTTGTATACCAATCTAAATATATAGGAAAATAGAATTTCTAACAAATTCGCTCCTCATAATTCCAAGTTTTCAATCTAAACTTTTTATTTTTTAAAATTAAAAAATACCCTATTACATAGGTGGTTTCAACTCCACTCATCTTTATTTTTTGGACTTTTTGAATATTAAAAACAAAAAATT